AAAGAGGGAAGGTTCACATGATGGAAGAGAAAAGAGGGAAGGTTCACATGATGGAAGGGGAAAAGTGGAAGCTTCACATGATAGAAAGAAAAGGATGAAAGGTTCACATGATGAAAAGGAAAAGAGGGAAGGTTCACATGATGGAAGGAAAAAGAGGGATAGTCACATAATGGGAATAGATGGAAGGTTCACATGATGGAAGGGAAAAGATGGAAGAGTTATATGGTTTTGCTATTTACTATTGTAACCCACTTTGAATCCTAAGTCAGGAAAAGGAGGTATATATATACTATAATAACAACAGCAGCATGGTTGCATGACAAGCAGTACTTGCTGAAATTCCCTCTTTTGCACAACTATTAAAGGCACAGGAGCCCTCTCTAGTTTTCAGTCTGGCAACCTCAAGCCTTCTTGGTTGTGTAGAAGAGAGAATTTCAGCAGGTGTTGGTGGTTACTATTGTAAACCCAAACCAAGAAAAGGAGGGATATAAATACAATAACAACAACAACCTGGTTGCATGACAAGCAATACTTGCTGAAAGTGTTTTCCACATTAAAGAAAACAGGAGCCCTTTCCAGTTTTCACTCTGGCAACCCTAATTTTTGAATATTCTTTCCATCCGTGCGGTTAATCCTACTTGATTCGTTCTTGCTTTCTTTTCTTGTTTTTCTCATGGGTGAAGTCATAACTGCATTCCTTCCCTCTTTCTTTCAGCATGATCTGAGGAAGCCTGGCTTAAAAACACGCTTTGTGGGTGTACTGGTTTATTGTGGGATGTCGGAAGCCATTGGGTCAGGGGTGGAAGAACGAGGAGGGAAAGCAATGACAGGGAAATCCCTGGCCAGATCTGGCATCCAGTTGCACTTGGGCCACTCTATTGTCCAGCCTTGCTGTGGAAACAATGGACGCAGGGCCCGACCCTTTCCCGCCCGGCGCAGCCTTTCCGAAAACACTACCTACCCAACCACAGCCATCATCCACTGGCTTTTTGAGCAAGGCAGAACTGAATGGAACAAGGTGCAAAATAAATCATAGAATCATAGAATCCTAGAGTTGGATGAGATCCCAAGGGTCATCCAATCCAACCCCCTTTCTGCCATGCAGGAATACACAATCAAAGGACCCCCGACAGATAGCCATCCAGCCTCTGTTTAAAAACCTCCAAAGAAGGAGACTCCACTACTCTCCATTGAGGCAGCAGCATCTTCCACTGTCAAACAGCTCTTCTCATCAGGAAACACTTCCTAATGTTGAAGTGGAGTCTCTTTTCCTATATTTTGACTCCATCGGTCTGGGTCCTATTCAGCATAGCCATTGGTGAAGGATGTTGGGAGTTGCAGTCTGGAGGGCTGTAGGATCCCCACCCCAACGCTGAAGCACTATGGCACCTAGCAGCTCCTGTCCAGCACAGCTGCAGTCCAACAACAGCTGGAGGGTTGCAGGATTCCCATCCCTGAAGCTGATGCATTGTAGCACTTAGCAGCCCCTACCCAGCACAGCAAGTGATGCAGGATGCTGGGAGCTGCAGTCCAACAACATTTGGGAGGCTGCCTTGGTTTCTCAAGGCACAGCAGCCATGCCAGCAAAGAGGGGAGCCCCAGTGTCTCTCTCCAGAAAGGATGGGCTTGCTTGCTATTTTTGTTGTGCAAAAGCAAACACACAACACACATACACACACGTGCCCTTAGTAAAGGGAAAGAAAGGGAGGCGATGAGCCATACAGCCGGATGGATGGACATGGAAAATCCGATGGGATTGTGCCCAGGGAGGAAATGAGCAACAGATGTTTGCAGCAGGAGGCTGCTGCTGAAATAAAACAGACCCCTGGGCAGCAGAGGAGGAGGAGGAGGAAAGGAGACCCCCACCCCAGACATAGTAGGGTGGACTATGTCTCCTTTCCCTTCCTCCCTTCAATCTGCAGCCAGCCTCTTTCGGGGTCTGCATCCACACTGCAGAAATAATCCAGTTTGATACCACTTTTTCTAACTGCCATGGCTCAGTGCTATGGAATTCTGGGGTTTGTAGCTTGTTGTGTATTTTCATTCACGTACAGTTGGCCCTTGGAAAGAAGGCAGCCAACAACAAGGCCCTCTGCCCATGCTCAGTGTACTCTTTCCTCTACTACGTGGCAGCTTCCAGTTCTGCTTCCAAGCCTGGCTCTGAATCAATTTAAGATCCTGTCCCCAGAATAGAGAGATGATGGAGGAGAACCTGGGAGAGTTACTTTCACAGACTACAGTCCCCAGAATCCTCTCCCCAGCCAGTATGGCCAATGGATTCCAGGCACTGTAGTCTGAATAAATAACTTTTCTCAGCAATAACGTTTCCCCAGCAATTCCCCCACTGGCTTGACTTCTTGTGAAGCTTTAAACTGGCCTGAAAACACGCAATTTAGATCTCTTTGGACTCGGTGTGCAATGTTTCGGTGCTTTTGCATCCGCAATGGAGGACTTTTTACCTTTTTCCTTGAATCTTGTCTTTACTTCGCCCTATTCTTCCAACCGAGCCAGTGTGGCATAGTGGTTTAAATGTTGGACTACAACTCTGAAGTACTGGGTTCAAATCCCCACTCAGCTATGGAAACCCACTGGGTGAGCTGGTGCAAATCACACTCTCTCAGCCTCAGAAGAAAGCAGTGGTCAACCTCCTCTGAACAAATCTTGCCATGAAAACCTTAGGGTTGCCAGGCTCGAAAGCACACAACAACAAATTCTTCTGACCCACTCCCCTGCAAAAGGCATCAAGAAAGGAGGATTGTGTTACTCCTATCCATTTGCTCATAAATACAACTTTTGTCGCCCCCCAGACAGGGACAGCTGCAAACTGAATGCCCAAATCCAAACTTGTTCCATGCACATATCCTCCTGCAACTAGATATACTGGACTACAGCCCCCATCATTCACTGCTCACCCTGGCAGGAGGATGATAGGGGTTGCAGTCCAACACTTCTGGAGGGCCAGAGTTTGGAAAGGCTGACGTTGCATGTTTAAGGTGTCGTCGTCTTCTTTTGTCTTGCAGAGGGGAGTTTGTTCAACATCATTTATATCCCTCCTTTTTCTCAGCATGAGACCTAAGGTGCCTCATAATATATTAAAAACAAAATACAGTTGAAATCTTGGTATATGCAGACTTTTAAAAGAAAACACTATTATATATTAAAAAGCAATTCTATAAAAAGCACATTTTTATAGAACTGGACTGCAGATGGGTCCGAATATCCCAAAATATGGGTTTTAATAATATTTTAAAATCTGTATTTTGGGATATTTGGGAGACACAGACTGCAGATGGGAGAGAATCAAGCATATCCTCCAACATTTCACAGAAGAAAACTGTGTGGCCAAGCAACATCAGGGTATTAATGCTGGGAGCTGCAATCCAACAACATCTAAGGGGCTGCAGGATGCCCAGCCCTAAAAGTGATGGACTGTAGCCCCTATCCAGCATAGCCAGTGATGAAGGATACTTGATGCTGCAGTCCAACAATATTTACAGAGCTGCAGAGTTCCCATGTCTAAAACTGATGGACTGTAGCACCTAGCAGTCTTATCCTGCATAACCAGTGGAGAAGGATGCTGGGAAGTGTAGTCCAACAACATCTAAAGGACTGCAGGATGCCCAGCCCTAAAACTGCTGGACTGTAGCACCTATCCTCCATAGCGAGTGATGAAGAATGCTGGGAGTGGCAGTCCAATGACATCTAGAGGGCTGCAGGATTCCCATGCCTAAAACTTGATGGACTGTAGCACTCAGCAGCCTTTATCCTGCATAGCCAGTGATGAAGGATACTGGAAGCTGCAGTCCAACAATATCTACAGAGCTGCAGGATTCCCACCTCTGAAGCTGATGGACTGTAACCCCTAGCAGCCCTTATCCAGCATAGCCAGTGATGAATGATACTGGAAGCTGCAGTCCAACAATATCTTGGAAAGATGGCAAAGGTTACTAATGTGTAAGAAGTCACAAGACAGAAAAAAACTGCAGCAGTTTGTTGTTGCCTGAGCCAACTGGGGAGTGCAAAATTTTGCCCCTTCCTGTCCTTTCCTCTCCCTGATATGTTAATTAAGTGCAAATTCCTTTTGCAATCCGAATGCAGTTCGCAGCAAATGGACAAAAGGTGAAAAGTGGGAGGAGGGGAGAGGCACCAGGCCATTTTAAAAAGCAGCTGAAAAAGTGGGACGGCAGAGGAGTAATCAGGACAGTCTCTGCAAAATTGGGAAATTTGGAAAGTATGCCTACAGAGGCTGCTCAAAACCCTACAGGTTATAGAATTATAGAATCATAGAGTTGGAAGAGACCACAGGGGCCGGTGCAATATGCCCATACAAGATCACTAAACTCAGATTTGTACTTTCCCTTTTTTGAAACCACTTTTTCCTAATTGATCCATGCAAGCTGCCCCCAGAGGCACGTTCCACTTTTAACACATGTGTTGTGTGCAACACTTGCTGTTTCCTTTTACGCACAACCCAGGCGCACGCAGCTGTTCCACGCGGCTGTTGAGCCACTGCATTTTCCCACCCTCACAATTCTCTACACAACCTACACTGCATCTCTGGTCATTGCAATCATACAGCCATAGTCCAAGATGGGGGGACATGATCTCTGTGGGGTGCAGGAATTGGGATCCTTGTGTCCCATCCAGCAAAGACCAGCAACAAGCAGCAGCAACCGCAGCTCACAGAGACTGCATTTTTGGCACATTGCACATCTGTTCACAGCTGGACCAAAAAAAACCACCCTTCTTTCCCAGTCTCCCTCCTGGGGCTCCCCGGTTGCATTTCTCAAGACTTATTTCATTGTTTCGTACGTAACCATCTTGGCAAGCCTTAAAGCACAGACTCGGGGGGAGGTGGTGGATGGACTGAGTCCTTTGGAGCCTGGTTCCTCCCTCCTGAAAAAGGGATGCTCCATGCACCAGACACATAGAGGATGAGCCAAACACTGAGACCAAAGGGACCCCTGAGGGTCATCCATCCCAACCTCCTACCAGTCCAGGAACGCTACATCCTCTCAACATTTCACAGATGAAAACCAGGACTTGTATAACCAAGCACAGTCAGTATCCTGCATATCCAATATGGCAAGGATAGTCCCGATTAATCCTGTGCCATCCCAGTTTTTCAGCTATGGCCATGACCTCCTCTTCTCCCATCTCTCTGAAACCCTTGTTTGTGGGGCAGCGTTGAGGTCCTGCCCCTGAATTGTCTGTAAATCTGTGGCTACTTTTTGAGAAGCACTCTGCACTTGCTCAGATGACAATTAAATTATTACTTGAAAGGCAGGAGAGAGACATTGGAACCAAATCCCTATAGGACTCTGATGAGAGCAAGGAAGGGCTCAAGGAGAGACATGAAGGCAGTAAAATATTTGTATTGTTGTTGTAACTGCCTTTGCGCCGGCCTCGACCCATGGCCGTGACCTAATGGATCTCCATTAGCCATCATATGTTTGCAATATGATCCCTGGTGCCTCTTCTTTTCCTGAACCCACTTGAACCTCTGAGATTTCTCTCTCCATGTGGGGTTGGAGTCTATATGTTGCAGAATTTTGAGCATAATTTTGCTTACATGGGAGATTAATAATAATAATAATAATAATAATAATAATAATAATAATTTATATCCCGCCCAGATCAGTGCTATGGTTCTATAGTTGCTGAAGTCTCTTGCATCTTCAAAATCCCTACTTGGCCATGGAAACCCATCGGGTGACCATAGGCAAGTCACACTCTCTCAGCCTCAGAAAAACTCATGATAGGCTTGCCCTTAAGCTCACCATAAATTGAAGACAACAACTATAACATCTTGATGTCCTTCTGCTGGCAGGATAAGACCTTCCTGTTCAGACAGGCATTTAAAACAGAAAGGTTTTACAGAATGGGCCGGGATGTTACATTGTTTAAAAACATTTAAAACATTTTTTTACCTTTTTATCTGTATTTTAACCTTTTAACATGTCATTTGTTTTAATATTGTAACAATTTCATCCTGTTTTAATGTACCTTTTTTTTTTTTTTGGTATGCTTTTAATTGTACTGTGTGTTTTTTAATATTGTTAGCCATCCTAAGTCCCAGTTTTGGGGAAAGGGTGGGATATAAATAAATACAATAATAAACAACAACAACAGAGTGATATGCTTAGACCACAGAGATCCCAGTTTAAACCTCTACTCCTCCATGGTGTTGCATATTGTGCATTTGGGTTGGCCAAGAAAGGTATCACACTGATGGATTTTTGTCTAAACTTGCTAAATGGCCAACACAGCTACCCCTGAATGTCCTCCATGATGTGTCACTATCTCTCAGCCTAACCTACCTCACAAGGTTGTTGGGAAAAGAACTTACGGAAAGAAGGGCAAGATATTTAAACATGGTTCCAACCCTTCCAAGGATTCAAATCTGAGCAAGTAACCTGAGCTTCTCTCCAGAAAGCAAAAGAGAGAGTGAGAGTCAGAAATACAGGATGACTTGTCTTTCTCTTCTACAGATCTGCAAACACACACACACACACACACACAACACAACATAACACAACACAACGCCAGCCTGCCTGCCTTCCACATAGCTGAGCACTGAAGTCGACCAGCTGCAACTTGAAAACTGAGCCCTCTCTCATTCCTCCCTGGAGAGATGAGCTCAGTTGCAACATGTGTGAGATTTGTGTCTATGTGAGTGTGCTTGTGTCCGCACACCCACAAAAGTCCCTCCCTCCCTGCTTGCCCTTTTAAACAGATGATACAAAGTTTTCACCCTTGGCAAAAGCTTGGGAAGGCTCTCATTCTGGGTCCCAAAAAGGAACTTTCCTAAACTTGGTCCCATCAGCTGATACCTGGAGGCCACTTAGGAAAGAAAGTGTGATGAGGATCAATCGATCGATCAATGACTGATGGAGATGAAAAAGGAAGGGAGGTTGTTGCCTAGGCAACGGAGCAAGGATGCTGAGCAGGGATGCAGGTCCGAATGACGTCGGGTGACAAGAGCATCGGAAACACAATTCGGACCCATTTGTGGGATTGATCACATTGCTCAATCTAGTCTGCACCCAATCCAGACATGTTGAAGTTTATAAATATACACTGGACCCTTGGTATCCACTGGGTTTGGTTCCAGGAACCTGCCATTGATACCCAAATC